TTTTTGCATTGATAACCATTATCTAAATATTGGAATAACTGAAAAAAATATATTTAATGTTAAAGGGAGTGTTCGCGAAAAATGAAAGGGGGTATAGGCTTAATGCGATAAAAAAGCGCTTTAAAATATATACAAATGTGGCGAAAGATAATCGATGACTATAGGTTGTAATATCTGAATAATTTGTTTGAAATTAAATTGATTTTTTTTACGGTCTAAGTCATTTGTTGCAATTTTCTCAATTTGTATGGACGCCATGTTATTCGGTATGAGACGTCTTTAACAATTTTCTCCTTATAGACGCAACAGATAGAAGTAAGATTAGTAGCGATCAAAAGCGCTTGTTTTATCGCATTAAGCCTATACCCCCTTTCATTTTTCGCGAACACTCCCTTTAAGGTTATAGGGTTGTGTGGATCCACCCCTTACTGGCCAATGCGTTCCATTTTCTACCCATACGAGGAACTAGAGCCTTTTAAACCTCTGCGTTCCATGTTCCCATCCTACAGTTATGACTGGACACCATTCTACGTTCCATTTGAACTGTTCCAGTTCACACCATTTAGATTTAAACCGTTCCCTTGGACCTATGGATTGCACTGGTGGGATTTAAACAAATTGTATGATGTAAAGCGCAAAAATAAAAGAAATTTGCTCAATAATAAGGAAGAGAAGGAAATCTCAGAAAAGAATGAAAACAGGAAAAGCTCTAAATTGGTAAATTTTGTGAATTCCCAAGCAACCTCTGGGAAGTTCAAACCTGTCAGCGATGATAATGCTTAAAGTGCTTAGGATCCTTTAAAGGGAATGTGAGCGTAATTTTAAGCCACCCTTCATACAAAGACAATTCCCGATTCACAGCAGTTGCCTTAAAAGCTTTGACTGATCAAGTATGAATTAGATATCAATGATTATAATTTTGGAAACTGATTATTTTCCAGTATGGTTGCTTTATAAAACTGTCTTGCACATTTATAGTGCAGGAAACCAAATAAATTTATCAGATTTTTAAACTTGTAAAGCTAGAAAAACGACAATATCTTTTACATTATTGATCACATAATGTTATTAAGCTAGAGTACCATTGTGAATCAGGCTTTGAAATCTTTGCATTATGGCCGTCACTTGAAATTGCGCTTACAGTCCCTTTAAGTGTTGTTAAGGATTCGGTTCTTTTTGAGATTATTGCTTTCGAAAAAATCAAAAAATATTTTGACATCAAAATCTATCATTTTAATGAGGCCATAGACAACAACTGCATCCTATACACCTTTGACCGAAAAAATGCGGATTTCTCCATCATCTAATTGATCAGTCAAGGTTTATATCCGTGTCACTTTGTAAATGGAGAGCCACTCGAAATTTAGTCTACAGTCCCTTTTATAATAATTGACTATATTTGTAATAAAATAATTAAATAAACAATCTGAAAATTAGCATTTATATAAAGAAAAATGAGATTTATGTATTTATTTGGTATCCATCATGAATACAAAAAAACATTATAAAAAAACATGTTCTATTCACAGAAATGATCAGAAAACTTGTTATCATCAGATAAAACTAGATTTTACATTATTAACTTATTATTTATCTTTAATTAAAAAATGTATCTATTTCTATCTTTTTTCTTGCAATAATCTATCTATAAATAGTAAATATATATTAAGTTTTTCTAAATGCACCTGTCTGCTTCCTTCTAAAGCTACTGTAGACAATCGATTATATTTTATATCTTTATGTATTATTACATTTTTCATTGCATCTTAAATCAATTTTAATCCCTACTGTGTTCCTTTTCTATATAGTGATGTGTGTATATATATATATTTTTACATTTATTTATTATCCTAAAGAAATTTTCAACGGCACTGCTTACTTAGTTTAACTACCTTACATATCCGGTCTGTCCATAGGGTCTGTCCCTTTAAGAATACCTGCGAGAGAGTTATATCTGGATTGATACATACTCAAGAATACAGCACTCCTGTATGCCGAGTCCACTAGCGCCTGATCCAATCAGGGTTCAATTATGTGTAACAAACTATTCTGAACCAATAGAAATAGTATGGCGGTAACACTATCTTTCTATCTATCTCATTATCCAATTAGAGTTATCAATCCTTCAATCGTCGCTAGCAGTAAATGGAAATATTTATGTCTACCGAAACTGTACAGAGAGAGAGAGTTGTATCTGGATTGATACAGACTTAAACAGTGCTTAGGATCCACTGAATTTTGATGCGGATCCGGATCCTAAGCACTGGACTTAAAGTGCTGTTGGAGTAAGGCATTTGTTACATATCTATATATCTATATATCTATTATCTTACTTTTACACTATAGAACTGTTATCTTCAATTTCAGCATTAAAACTGATTCTACTTAAAGTTTTGCATGTGAATGCAGCATATAGGATAACAGTCTAATTAATTTACAAAATCTGGACAAATTGTAATTATTAAACTGTTAAAATCCTCCCAATATGGTTTCTTACAGAAAGGGATGGATCGTTTTCACTTATTTGAAAAACGAGCGATTCGTTCTAAAAACGACGAAGAAAAAACGAAATGGTCGTTTTTAAAAACGATCGTTTTTTTTGTTAAATTCAAAAACGAGGAAGTAATTTTTCTAGTTTTAGTTTTTTGTTTCGTTAAAGAAGGTAGATCGTTTTTAATTTTTGACGATCGTTAACCTCGATCCAACGACATTTCAAATCCGTATCAAATGAGTTAAACTCATTCATTTTTCTCTTTTTGTCCAAGCCTTTACACATATGCTTTTAGAGACAAATGTAAAAGGGGAATTTCATTTCAAATTGACTGCAGACTGCCTTTATACAATATTTTATGTGGTTTGAATTGTAAGTGCAAATATAATATAAGAAATGTTCAATAAATTCTCATGAATCTATGATCAATGGTTTAAAGTAAATATCATTAATTGAGTTTTCAAGAAATTTCATAAGTTTAAAGTAGTAATGACATTTCGCATATTTCTCATGAAAAATTTAAATTTTGCTTTAAACTTGCTTGGTATGTGGCCTCAGTTCAATTCGAAGCCTAAAGGGACTGCTAAGGTAAAATGAAAGGGGATATAGGCTGAAAATTCAAGGCGTTGATCGCGACCAATATTATTAGTATATCTGATGTCCCTGTCTCGAGAATGTTGTCAATATTATATAAATCAAAGAACCTTTTAAAAATTCCTTTGAAAATGTGTTTAAATCATAATTATTGTGATAATTCAAATTCTTTTCTCTGATAAAAAATTATGAAGAAATCCTAGTTTTTCCGTTAATGGAATTTTATGTCAATGGTGTTTTTATTTTGATACAGTGAAACCCTTAATAACGAATACATCGGAAGAATTAATCAAATGTCGTCTTGACAATTTTTCAATGAGTTTTATACTCTATTACGTAAATTTCAGTATTTGCGAAAATAAATAAATAGCCATGATTATGCGCGAACAGTTTTTAAAGAGTTCCATATAATCATTTAATTAAATAACTAAATATCTGTAACATTCCATTATCAGAAAGTGAAGAATACGACATTTGATGAATTCTTTCGATGTATAAGGGTTTCACTGTAGTATTTCTCTTAAAATTGCTAAATCTGTATGTTTTGATAATAGAAGCAAACAATAAGGAGCAGTTTTTACTATTGGATTACACTAAGCCTTATGTAATTCCTAAATAAAAATTCTTACAAAAAAATAATTTGTCATCTTGTTTAAACAGGGGTCTTTAAACTTGGAAAAAGTATATTATTAACTATTATAAGAAATGTTAATATTTGTTAGAATTTAATAATATTAGAAATATTTTACACATGTATGGAAGGACATAACTCAGAATTTAAAAAAATTTTAAAAAGAATATATCTCAATATATTCAAACCTTTTTTTACTGTATTATAGAATTGAATATTGAGATTTTCTTGATTCAATTCAATTCAATTCAAGAAGTCCCGTGGGCTCCTCGATCTAAATGGGGTACGCCATCACGATCCCGTCTAGATCAAGGCTTTTCAGCCTGACATCGTTTAGGCCTAACGTCGGGTATCACGACCAAATACTTTTTTACTTTGGGGGTTGGGTGGTGAGAAGGAGGTGTGGAAAAAGTATTAAAGTTATGGTAGAATTCAATGCTTTTGTAGGTACATTTTTTTTTTTAAGTCTTCATTCTTTCTTGCTTAAGGTAGTGTAAAGGTATATTGGAAAAACGTCAAAAAACAAAGATTTTATTGAACAAATATTAAAATGTAACACCTTTTTTATATCCATTCTTCAAGATCCTTGCAAACTGTTGAATTAAAAAATATCTGTATTTTTGATGGAAGAAAGGCTCTCATAATTGAGGAAAAATTTCATGATATGGCAAAAAAACTGTCGAAGAAAATGAAAGTTTTGTAAACTATTGTGTTGTTATCAATCCTTCAATCGTC